AATTTAAATCCATAATTTTTAATTATTGATGAATTTCTTATTATCTTCTCTATCTATCAAAAGCCTCCTTTCAAAATTTCCTCTTTTTTTTTTTAAATTTTTTCATTTTTAACAAGTGTTTATAAGAATGTATAAAAACTAATTGGAATAGAAGTGAGAACCACACAAAAATTATAAGAAATTGACGAGAATAAGCTGAAAATTGCCTCTCTGGTCGATCGATCATCCATACAAGGTGCCGATACCGTCGCTAAATCCAGGTGAAACCTGTCCGTGTCGGGAATTTGGGCAAAAATGCAATTTTAGCCTTTATTGGTAAAACTGTTCTGGTACCTCGTCTTTCATTGATTGACACTTTGATCCTCATAATTCTGATTTCTTCAGTTTGGTCCTAAAATTTGTGATTTCTTCAAATGAAAATAATTAGTACACACGGTTTAACACGCAGTTTAACACTCATCCTAATTCAACTATTAAAATATAAGATAATTATTGGTATAACTTTCAATTTAATACACATGTTAAGACCTATTAGTTTAGCTAATAAAAATTTGTAACTTTAAATTTTCTTGTCATTCATTTAAATTTGAAAATAATAATTGCTTAAAAAGTGTATTGAATTAAAGAGTGTATCAATTATTATCCTAAAATATAATATAAATTATAAATTAAAGTTGATTTAATTGATTTCTGCATCATGTATGCATGCATGCATGACTACATTTTTAAGTTTATTTGCCTTTAATTTCATACCAAAAAATAATAATTTTTAAAAAAATATATTTAACAGTGTATTGAATTAAAGTGTATACCAATTAGTCTCTAAATATCAATAATATCAAGGCAAAGTTCCATATTAATACTTATGAAAATTTAGTTCATCATGCAGTAAGGACTACAAAAGGGGACTCTTTTCATGTAGTGTTCTTAAATTATTTGACTCCAAATGGTTGATAGATGGCACACCATGGTTAGCCATTATTTGTTTGGAGTTAGTTTACATAGCTCCATGTAAATTATCTTTGAAAATGCCAATCTTAGAATCTCAAGGGGTGTCATTTTTTCAAGATTTGTGGTTTTCTGTTTGTAACGTATTTGAATTCTGTTAGTTCTAGTAGCAATCTCAGAATGCTCTTTTGTTATGGTTCCCTTGTTTCTGTAATAATAATTACAAGCAGCTTATGCAGTACCCCATGCATGTATTACACACTCAAATAACAGTTAGATATCATGGCTAAGAAGTATGCGATCAAAAGAAAGATCCCCAATTACCTACTTTTATACACTATAAAACAAAGAATGAGACTATGTAACTAACAAGTTAAGTTTGATGTTAACTTTAAGGGAATCATAAGTATAGTGGGCATGCACTTCAAGAACTAGATTTCCATCTTTTTGAGTATGTCTATATGTAATAACATCATTGGAGTCAATTTTTTATAAGCCAGAAAAGGAAGAGTTGTCCAAATTGTATATTGAAGATTGTCAAGCCATAAAGCTTACGATAAACAATGTTTGGAAGGCAAGTCCAGTAAATTGCAATAATATTGTCACACTCTCACCTCAGATATCCCCAAGGTTATCTATCTACGGTTTGAGATTAACACAAATCTCATTTTGATGTGTAGGCATGCATCTTATGATAGTATTTATAACCTGATCATCACAAGATTTGAAAACAATGGTGCACATGCATTTTTTAAATTGACTATGCAAATAAGTGCGGGAGAGCTAATTAATGCTTAGCATATAGTTCACATGCATCTTAAAATACCTAGTTAATAACGATATCATAACAAACCGAAGCTTTGATCATATTGACATTTTTTTTTTATTGGTTAAGCCTTGATCATATTGAGATTGTGCAGGAAGCTCAATGAAAATACTAAGAACAGAATATAATAGTCAAGTGAATAGCATGAGTAGTGAAATCAAGCCTTTATAGAGAAGTTTATAGTTCAGCTTACACTTTTTTTTTTTGCACAGCAAAAGGATTATGTATATATATTTAAATAAGGGAGTACAAAGGGTACTCCAACCCGTTACAAAACATTAACTATTCCAACAACAATGGAACAAGATAAAAACATTGATAATATTCTATGAGGTCACTCACGTCAAGCCAACACCCATTTCAGCACAATGTCAGTTATTTCCTTCATTTGTCCTTCAAGCATTCCACAAGGTCCAGGATCCAATGGCAAATATTAAAAGAGTACCCAGATGATCGGCTTTTAATCCATTGGAATGTCCTCAGTTGCACAAGTTCAAAAATTCCACTTGCATCCTGGTCATGATTTTTGAAGGACTTATCATTCCTAGCAATCCATAAGGACCAGATAATTGCAAACCATACTGCATCCCATCCTATCTTGATTTTTACATCATTAAAGGAAGCCAAGTGTTGTTCGAATGATGTCAAACAATTATCCGCTTCTACCCATGTAATCCTCCACCATTGAAAACATTTGGACCACACTAAATATGTAGTTTTACAATGCAGAAACAAATGATTTATATCTTCCATGCCCTCATTGCATAAACTACATGTAGCAAGGCTAGAATCTAAAATGATACCTCTTTTGAGTAGATTCAACTTTGAGGGGATTCTATTTTGTAAGACTTTCCACACGAAAGTGCAAATTTTTGTAGGAACAAGTCTGCACCAAACTCTTTCGTGTATGTTGTTCCTGCTTTCATTTTGATTACTTGAGAGGACCTGATATCCAGATTTCACTGAATACATGCCATTATCATTATCATGCCTCCACTCCCAGTGATCTTCTCGTCCCATAGTTGGTTGGTTTGCCTCCAATAGACCCCACAGCTCTGATAATGGTTCTTCCTCCCAAGAAAAGGTGGGTCTTCTCCACTGTAATGACCAGGTCCATCTCCCATTGTTCCAGTGACCCATTTGGGAAATGCTCTTGGTTTTGCCTGTGGAATTAAGAAATAATCTTGGAAATTTGTTAGCCAAAGGCCTATCCCCTATCCACACATCCTTCCAGAAGCTAACCGATTTACCCTTCCTTAATTTTAGTTTATAGCCGTTTGAAAGCCATCCAACTCTTCTATGATACAAATGATCTAATTGACAGACGTCCTTCCACCATAAGGAGCCCCTCTTGCACCTTTTTTCAATCCAATTAAGCCAATTGCCTCCTCCATTTCCATATTTTTCTCTAATGACCTTGTACAAAAATCCTTCCTCACCCCTTGCCAGCCTACTCCACCAATTTCCTAGCAATGCTAAATTAAACTTTCTAAGGTCCTTTACACCTAAATCACCCTCCATTTTGTTCCTACACACATTCTCCCAACAAACCCAATTAATCTTCTTGCTACCCTCCCTACCCCCCTAAAGAAAACTTCTACGAATTTTATCAAGTGAAAGAATCAAACCTCTAGGTAACAGGTGGATAGACATGATGAACACTGGGAGGCTAGACAGCACAGAATTAAGGAGCGTGATCCTTCCGCCAAGAGATATGAACCTGGTTTTCCAACTTGCAAGTTTCTTCTTAAAAGATTCAATGATGGGTTTCCACATCGCAATACTTCTGTATCTACCCCCAATCGGCATCCCCAAATATTTACAAGGCAAAACTCCTTGCTTACAATTCATAATAATAGACATCTTATTCATCCAGTCATTTGAGACATTTATGCCCATGAGCAAGCTTTTTCCGAAGTTAATCTTCAGCCCCGAGACAATCTCAAAAATCCTCATAATACATTTTGCAGCCCAAATGTTTTTTTTTTTGAGGCTTTCCCAAATACAATCGTATCATTTGGAAACTGTAGATGAGATACTTTCAAGCCACTTTGACCAACTGTAATCCCCTCAAACAGTCCATGTGAAATTGCTGATTTGATGATGCCATTAAGACCCTCCGCAATTATTAAGAATAGAAAGGGGGATAACGGGTCACCTTGTCTGAGTCCTCTTTGCATCTTAAACTGTCTGGTGGTGCTCCCGTTGAGTAACACCGATACCTCCGTTGTCTTCAAGCATTCAGTCATCCACCCTTTCCATTTTTGGCCAAATCCTAGTCTCATCATCATGTAGTCCAAGAAGGCCCAGCAAACTTTATCATACGCCTTTTCAAAGTCAAGTTTAAATATGAACCCTGCTTTTTTCCCTTTTTGAGCCTCATCTATAGTCTCATTTACGATGACCACACTATTTGCAAGTTGCCTTCCTCCGATGAAAGCCATCTGATTTTCCCCAATCACTCCATTTAAAATTGAAGACAGCTTATGTGCTAGTAGTTTGGCAATTACTTTGTACATGACACCAACTAGTGAGATGGGTCTAAATTCTTCTATTTTTTGTGGGTTGTCGACTTTAGGTATTAATACAATGAAACTACTATTAACCCCTCCGACCAGTTTTCCATGCTTTTGGAAATCGTCAACAAACCCCAATATATCCCCTTTGATTACCTCCCACATTTCCTTGATGAATTTGAAGTTGAACCCATCAGGCCTCGGTGCCTTTGAACTCTCACAACTCCACACTGCTTGTTTAACCTCTTCCTCCTTGAACGGTGCTTCCAACATTGACCCCTCCTCTGTTGAAATCTTCTTAAATTCAATTCCATCTAGCACTGGACGTTGCCACTCTTCCTTTTGGAACAAGCTTTCGAAGTGCTTTCAACACCTTCTTTAAGTTCCTTTACTTCCTCCAAACGCTCACTGCCCACCATAATACTCACTATGTCATTCCTCCTTCTTCGTCCTTTCACACATCTGTGGAAAAATTTTGTATTAGCGTCCTCTTCACATAGTCAGGTCTTTCTAGCTTTTTGTCGCCATATGCTTTCTTTGATCTTCTAATTGTTCCATAATTCTTGAAAATTTATCCTTCTCAACTCAATGTCTTCTGTAGGCAATGGCATCACTTCGCCTTTTTTATCAATGGTAGCAATAGAATCGATGCTCCTTTGTATGCTCAAGTCAATCTCTGACACCATGTTCTTACTCCAGGCTTTCAACACCTTCTTTGTTTCTTTCAATTTCTCCTTTAAACGGAACCCATTCCACCCACTAACCACTTTCGACTTCCATACATCACTCACCATATCCTTCAACTTAGGGATTTCCAGCCATGCATCGAAGAATCGAAAGGGTTTTGGACCCCAATCAATTATCTGGTTTTTTAACACAATTGGGCATTGATTAAAGTATGAACGGTTCAAGCCCCATTGTTTAACATACTCCCAGTTCAAGCACCATTCTTCTTAGAGCAAGAATCTATCCAATCTACTCATCGTTGCTCCATTGGTTTGGTAGTAGGTAAATTTCCTGCCAATTAATGGTAGGTCAACTAAGCCACAATCACTGATAAACTGGTCAAACTTCGGCATATCTCTTCTGATACTCCCACCTCACCATTCCTGCTCATTTCTCATTGCGTTGAAGTCTCCCATTAAACACCAATTCCCCCCATTCTCAAGAATAAGATTTTTGAGTGCAACCCATAGAGCCCTCTTTCCAGCCATATCACACGGGGAATAGATATTTATGATATACATGGGAATGTTAGACACCCCCCAAAACCCATAAATCCCAATGAAATTATCCCTTTTTATAATTCTATCCTTCTTCAATAAATCAGAATTCCAAATACAAATCAATCCCCTAGCCATACCTTTTGAGGGTTGAGCAACCCATTCAAAATTATCCGATCCCCATAGAGCTCTGCAGAGTTGAGCATCAACGACCTTTACCTTGGATTCTGGTACTGATAAGAACTCTACCTTCTCCTGAGCAACTAGTTCTTTCACCCCTTTTTTCTTGCCTTCCTTTCCTACTCCTCTGATGTTGGTTGACATAAAAATCATTTTAATTCTGCACTTCTATTTCCTCCATTTTCAGCCTCTTTAGTCGTTGATCTTCGATACGTCTCCTTGTCTCACTCCTCCATGGCTTTAGGTCTTCACAAGACCTCATCCTCAGTACCTCGATCCACAACTCCAATTATCTTTGCAAACCCCCAGATCTGCTATCCATTGCTACTTTTTGCCTTAGATCGCAAGCATCTATTTCTATTTTCAATGTCGCTATTTGTGATTGAATCCTTCGTTGCCTATTTTGGGGATCTGGGCTGAACTTCGGCATCCTATCCTCTATTTCTCGGGCTTTTCTTGATTTGCTCTGTTCCGTCTTTATCCCTGGGCACTCCTCTCTCCTGGATTTCTGATACACATAGGAATATGATCTAATCCTCTTTCTCCTTTGCTTTTTAGACTTCCTCTCTGTTCTACCCATCCAAGCTTTCACTTGCCCTGATTCACTTTCAAACCCTTGCTAAAAGGATTGTTCCTCACTGTCAGTTTCCACTCCGTCGAAGATTCCTTCACCTCTCTGTTTCTCCCCTTCCTTTTCACACATATCATCTCTCTTTTCTCTCTCCACTCCAGCACCTTTATCTTTACTAACTTTATTCTTTTTTGCTGCTCCCGGTCCCAAGTTTGTGGCCCAAATTTCTCCATCCCCCAAACATGCTTGATGGTCCGGCCTAAGACCCCTTTCGCCCCTTTGGTTTTTGCTTGGGCTTGGATTGGTTGGCCTGATTAATTCTCCCTTCCCTCTTTTTAAATCTTGTTCCTGGCTCTGCCTTAAATGCTCACACAGGCTATCAGACACATAGCCTACCTCCTCCGCCGTCTCCCCTTGGGTGTTGATAAGAAGTCCTCGAGTATTCTCGATGCCTGCAGCAATGCATTCATTATCTGATTGTTTGATGGATTCTTCAGCACTCATCAAGCTATTTTCCACATTTTCAAATTCAAATATCTTTTGTCTAGCCGTTGCCTTCTTCCCTTGGCTATCAAGTCGACTTTCTTCTCGCTCTCGCCCATACTCAAATTCCACGTCATCTACCATTACATTCTTGCTCTCCACGTTGGCTCTTCTTTCCTTGTCATCATCTTCAACCTTCCCATTTGCACATTTGGAGGAGTGCTTGGAGCAACCACCACCTTGAACAGAGCAACCATCACCTTGAATAGACTCGTCAACAGCACCATCGATATCATTGTACAAGGACCACATTTCTGAACTACTATCTTCTGAATCAATTGACTCTTTGAACACATGGTCAGACGTCATGGAGAAGATGCCATTAGTTGCCTCTTCCTCCATTACTTTGATAAAAAATGGCACGCCATTCACTCTTATGTTCATTGATTTTGAAATGAACTCCATAATAGGGGTGGATATCAGAATTCTCCCAATATCAAATCTTTTCTTTTTGCTAGTGCTATCATCTGTGGAGATAAATTTCCCCCACACATTCCTGATTGTGGCAAAGAACTCAAGTCCCTAAGCATGGGCTGGGACGCCTTGGCATCTTAGCTGCACAAACCTTTCTCTTGCAACCATTCTTGGGTTCCATGGTTTTATATCCTCAAACCATTGCCTTAACCATTTCGGTGCTAATTCTGCCAAATCCTTCATCTCCTCCTTATCACCCCCTTCATGTAAGACTAGTCTTCCCTCCATTGGTCTTACCTTGCACGAGAAATATCCTTCCATGAAAAATTTCTCTTGTAGTGTCGGTATGAGCTCTACTGAATAAGTATTTTCGACATAACAGCATTCAAGCCATGTAAGTTCTTCCTCCTTCACCCTAAACTCCAGGCCAGCATTGACTCATTCATTATTCCTCATTTTCCATACTTGTGTTGGCCTTTTTGGCATGTCTCTATTTCGTTGCTTATGTTGATCAATTCCTACATCTGTTGCCGGCTGTGTCTGTCTCAGTAGATTTTCCTCCACCCTATACTTTCCTTTTACAACTTCTGCATACGATCTCCATGGTTTGACGTGAACATTCTCAACTGGCTTTTTATCTTCTCTGTTCCTCTCCTTAGCTTCTTTGAATCTTCATCTATTAACCCATAGCTTGGTCATCCCTACTCTAATTTGGTCCAGTTGGCGTTCCAGATCCCCCTCATTCTTAACATCTAAGAATCTTACAAACCCAAATCTACTCCCTGATTTGGATTTCCTCAGTGGGCTATAGATATCCAGGACTCTGCCGTGTTTGCAAAAGGTCTGCCACATGCTTTCGTAACTCCATTTATCTGGAAAGTTTGTAAAGAAGAACACAGTAGCCTGGTTATACACCCTTTTGTCATACCCCCACACCTTTTGGCTCTTTCCTGATCTTCTGCCTGAGTACCCATTACCCTGCTCATGTCGATTCCCTCTCTAGTTTCTGGATAGCTCCCAGTTCCCGTGCCATCCGCCCATCGAGTGCTCTGTTTCTATCCACTCTCCCTCTCTCTCTACCTCTCATTCTCTCTCTATTAGTTCAGCTTACACTTGATTTTAGCAAAATAGGAACATATAGATTGATGTAGGTGAAAAACAACAATTCCAAAAGTTATGAAAGGAAACGTAAGAACAAAATTTAATCAAATGTTTATTTTTAAATTTAATTAAATGAGTATTTTTTAATTATTCAAATATATCTAAGAACAAAATATATATTAACAACCAATAAAAATGTGGTACCATGTAAGAACTCAAAACAGAAATAAAAATCTTGACGTTAACGTGGATCCCTGGAATTGAAATATTCTAAATTACATAATTAATTATAAGTTAGCCAGTGGACTTACCTCTCAGCCATCTCTGATATCTGGGCGATGAACTAGAAAGCTAACGATTTTTGGCAATCATTAACATAATATAAAAAGAGACTAGAGAACCAAGAAAGAATGAAATTAATTAGAGTTTATTAATTATATATAAATAGACAACGATTAATACACACTCTGATTTAATATATTATATAACACACTCATTGAAAATTATTATTTTCTAGTTTGAAATTAAAAGCATATATACTTAAAAATGCAATCATATATATAGGATGTAAAAATCAACTAAATTGATGATATTTATATTATATTTTATTAACTAAACCAAAAAAATATTAGAAAGTGTGTTGAATTGAACGTGTTATAATCATTTTCCTATATAAATACAAGACTCAAAAGATTGAGATTAATTTAAGTTATTCCTAACTGGTAGGTTAAGGTACCTCACCTTAATAAAATACCTTTTGTTGTCAATAAAAGATATGTTATTATTAACTTATCACTAAAAAATTAACATTGCTGATAAAAAAAAGTAAAAAAAATAAAAACTAAAGGTTCACATTACTATTTACTTTTATATTCTCATTCCTTGCTTCAAAACATATGGTATACTTTACAAAAAATAGAGTTAAAGAAAGTAAAAAGTGCATCCTGTTTGATTTTGCAACAAGAAAAGGATCGATATATACTGGCTTGAACTTTAGTTTGTTTTTATTTTCAAGAACTGTAGGTTCT